TGCTTTTACATGGGGTTATTCACAACAAGCAGCAATGAAGGCCATATGCAAGGTTTGCTGTTGATTTCTTTGTTTTTCTCCACAACTTGGTCTGTTTAAACCATGGTCGTGAGCAATAATGGAGGGCAAAAAAAAAAAAAGTTGTACCATAGCTGTATGTAAGCAGAACCATCTTTCACACTGGAAAAAGGGAACAAGACTTTCTAAATAAATTTATATGTAGTGGCTGTGGTGACGTAACAGCGACACACCGTAGGTAGAGGACGCGGTAACCAGAGGACCTCCTGTATATATTTTCCTTCATATTGTGTATATGTTTCCTTAATGTGACATCCAACAGGACGAATATGACATTTTGTCTGTGTTTTGTTTTTTTTAGTTTAATTTGAATGAAGATGTTTTTCTTACCATTGTTATTTTAAAGCTTAAAATTTGATACATTTAAGGTGAAACTCCAGCCTATTTATTACTAAAATACTCCAGCACTTACCACTGTAAGGAAAACTTTCATGATTTCACAGGTTTCCACTGATCCTTCCAACACACACGGGCGGTGCATTGACTGAGTGTGAATGTGATGCTGGTGTGACAGAATGCTTTAATTATGGATTAATTGTGTCATTAACAGGTTTCTGCTGTTGGGCCTGTCAAGGTTAATTACTGGAACATGTTTATTTGCTGTCAGCCACTGCGGCAAGCTGTCACATGCATGGAAACAAACACACACACACACACATACAGTACATGCACAGTGGTGCTGTTCACTCCAATGATCCACAGACACACCTTGTGTCCTTCATGCCTTCTAAGTTTTCATCTCCTCCTTTGTTTGATTCCTCAACATTGTCTCTACAGTGATTCACCAACATGAACAGTCGATCCCTTCACGTTCGTTCAACAACAGCCCAGTCACACACACCTGGATCACCACAGGTGGGACAACTAGACAAATAGTGATATAAAGGAGAGAAGAGCCACTGTCCTAGTGGAGCGTGTTGTACATCTCTTAATGGGATAGTTCAGGAGAAGGCACCTTGTTTTTAGAAGTGGGTGATTAAGACAGAAATAAGCCTGATACGTACTCCGCAAGAACCAAAAGAAACTGTTTCCAAGGTGGACGTTTTTTTCTTGCCATATAACACCATCAGATATCAAGCCCTTATTCCTGAGAAGTCTACATTATAGCCACTCACTACAGCACAGGTTCCCGGTCCAAAGTATTGTCTGAAGGAGGAGAACAATATGGCGTTTATACGGCAACAATATGACTATGGATCCCACAGCTATAGTGCTGATTCGGCCTTGCATAAAAACCAATCCGGAGTTTTGGTATGGAGAACTCCGTGCTATTCAAATCCAGGTCCCAGAGTGGAGAGGTCTGAAGACTCTGTGTCTAAATGGAGTAGGGTGAGATGATGTGGTCAGCCCCGCCTCTCTGTAACCTCTTACCCCAGCCTCCCCTGCTTAACGCCACACAATAACAACAATGGCAGATGCAAGACTATTTCTGACCAAGCTAGAGGCAAATACAGCTACATGCTGTGCTACAGTTAATTATTATCACTTTTAGAGCCCCATCTTGAGCAGCAAAGGTTAATGTGGAACACCACTCTTCTGGTGATAGCATATTAGAGTGGGGGAGACACAGTACCACATACAGGCCTGTGATATGTACTACAGGGAGGCGTATTCATCGGCTCCATTTAAACACTGAATTTCCTTGCGCCACGTCAGTGTGAACGATCCCCATTTCATAGTTCTTCTGTTGTAGAGTATGTGTTAACCTTTCTACTTCAATTTCTCTACTTCAGGGCTATAAAGAAATGACGTAGGTAGAGTCCCAACTGTCATGCAGAACTTTCTAGGTTTTGATTCGGTGGAACACTATGCACACCCAGGTTGGTTGTGTCAGAAGGGGAGAAGATGCATTGATAAGAGAACTTCAGTTCTTTGAGAATGGCTTCTCTGGGTCACCACCTCAATGAACCACACTGTCTGTCCATAAGTCTGTTTTGAGACAGTTACAGTCAAAAACAACATACAAGTGCACACTGACGGGTTTATACAGAGTTTATCACACGTCAGTTTTGATCTTGATTTTAGTCCCAGTTTATCAATGTTTTTTTATTAACCAGAGCTAGAAAAGTACTTGAAACCGATGTTCCACAGATGGAACAACAAAGTTTTCATCCCCATCATAAAACAGGAACAGGTTAGTACAGGCGGTTATTACAGACTGAGAATGAATTGAAAATGTAGGTTGAAACAAGCAGCAGGGAGGCAGTGGAGCTGAAACAGGGACGCAGGCCGTATTTCTGCTGCTAACGATGGCGGTGGAGGCAGAGGGTGACAGTGGTGGAGCTGCTGACCCAGGAGAAAAAATAGGAGCCAGCATTCCAGAAAAACAAGAAACAGGAACTGCGCAGCTGCAGGCTGTTTGGTAACTAATCCCAGTTACGACTAGAAGCATGCACAAACTCACAGAGCCAACTCATTACAACGGAAGGGGGCGGTCCAGTGCTGTGGCAATGACGAGCAGGTGTCCTGTCCATAAGGTGGCGTCCTGATGATCACCGACAGGTGTGTTTGACCATAAGCGGTGCCACAGCGCCGGTGAGGTCACAGGCGACCATGTACTAGTGTACACACAAATCTAAACACACACACTCCCATCCACCCATGGGGAAAAAACCCAGGAACCAGGACAATAATACCAAAACCCACCCACCACCACCCCCATCCCCTTGTCACGCTACGGGCGTCACTGCAGGAACAACACGATAATCATTTAGAAAAAATTTAATAGATTGTCAAAAACGAAAACTTTAAATGTAGTTTCATAAATGAAGTCAGTGGATTGATGACAGATGTGTTAATTTATTTTTTTTTTATTTCTCTTTCAAAGCATTGACAGAGTTTACAAAATCATTATATACTAATGATTTTCTAGTATTTCCTTAGTCCTAGTACTAAGAAAGGCAAATACAGACAAGAGTGTTACACACAAACAAACAAGACCACACTCTCCACGAACAACACACAGAGATCCATCCATCCATCCATTTTCAGCCGCTTATCCGGTACCGGGTCGCGGGGGCAGCAATCGCCACCCAAATCACATTGCACCGTACCAAACCTTCCTGCGGGTGGTGAGTCCACTGGAAGGTACCAACCGCCCTAACCGGGATTCGAACTTGCCCAGGAGGTGAACCCTGGGGTTCCACACCAATGACAGAGACATTGCCTCTGGGCCAAAGCGCCACCCACACAGAGATTCTTTAAGCTAATCAGGAAGAACTCAGACTGATAGTTTGGCTTTTGCTCAAATTTGTCCACCACAGAAAAAAGAAAACAACCCAGAAATGCTGAGAGGAAGAAAGCGGGTGAGACAAAGGGAGAAGAAGAAGAAACTAGTGGGACTACTTTAATTGATTTAATCTGCTCACTAACCCATCTCCTGACATACAGTATCTCTCTCTCTCTCTTTCTTTATCTCTTAGCTGAGCAGCTGTTGAAAGACAAACCATTTATCAGCCTGCCTGTTATTTCAGCCAGTCAGGCTGCACAATGGTTTCCAAAGCTCAGTAACTGTAACTAAGGAGAGCTGGGATGGACACACACACTCCGGACACAAGAGTGTGTTCAGTCTCATCAACTGTTGGGATACCACAAAACCCCCACACAACCATAAAGATACTTCAGAAGTATTTATACACACCTGTACATAATGTAGGTGACTGTAACATATAGAAGACATGTTACTATACCAAGTTATTACATAACTGACCAACACAAACACAGGCTTTTGACGTAGTGACAAACTGACTGATGGTGGTGGAGTCAAACACCTGCGCCAAAAAGCACACAGAGGAAACATGGTTTAAGTGAGTGACATCTAGTGCATATGTAGAAAATGTGAGCCTAAGATGACGTCAAGCATCTGAAGTCTAGAATAGAATAAAATACTAGAATAGAATAAAATAGAATAGAATAGTTTTATTGTCTATCTGACTACGTCGACCACAGATCAGAATTATATGCTTTATGCAACAGTGTAAGTCTAGCAGTATAATACTGTTCTTTAGCGATAGTGTATATGACTATATACAGCATATGTTGCAGAATTCCATAGGAAATACATTAACAATTAACATTATTATAAAAAGCCATGACATAGCAATGTAGCAATTTAAATAAAAATATAATAATGTAAGGTAACATTATAATGAAAATGCTTCTGTGCATTATTTAAAACTAACGAGTCTAATCCACCCAGTTATTTTATACGTTTTTGAGTACGGAACCAAAATCTCACAATCTGCAGAATTCTGAGGGTTCTGTCAATGTAGAACCAGCTGTGACACCGTACCTCAGGAGATTGGTGGAACACTATCTCAGACTCATGACGACAAACAAATTCAGCAATGGCAGGAATTTAATTTGACCAATTGTTTTTTTTTTCCAAAGGCCTCCTAAGAGAGATGAATCATTTGGGAACTGTCATTAAGTGATTCCGTCTGTCCTCCATGGGACAAAGTGACCACCACAAACTGTTATAACAGTTTATTCTGACCTTGAGCTAAACTTTTGAGGGATAGCCAGTCAGTTTAGTGGTCTTTACTTTTGCTTGGGTTTTATTTTAGATAGAGATACTTTATTAATCCCTTGGGAATTCACTTCAGGAAATTTAAAAAAAAAAGTGTTTTGAATTGTCAGTTGACCTTGCGCATAGCTGTCAAAAAAACCCCAAAACAATAACTTGGAGACAGTTTTGAGTTTTATAAAAATGCAATTGTTGAAAAGGGTGATTTAAATGGTAAGCATTACCATTTAAAATTAAAGGCAAAGAACAGGTTTGTTTTAAAAAAAAGAAAATAAAAAATTATGCCATGTGTCTGTTTATGTACAATGACAAAACAATTCTTACCAAAAATGTGTGTACATTTGACATTGGTTAATGGGCCAGGTTTTCTCAGGAATAAAATAATAAAACAATCACCAACTGTTTATGTGCATCAGCAATTTAATTGACAAAGCAAGAAAACATTGATTACAGTAGCAGAGTAATCGGTACTTGGAGGGGAGACAGGGGGGTGTCACCGCCTTTCTAAACAAAAATGTCTGAAAACGTGTAGGCACTGCCTAATGAAATCGAGGATCTTGTCAGCTAAAAGAAACCAGCTCTGTAAGGCAACAGTTCAAATGGCTGCTTCAGTTCTCTGGCAAAAAAAAAAAAGTGTAAAGGTTGAATTACCTCACGATTTTAACAATATAAAACACTGTGTTTTAATACATTTTTTAAACAAACTGCAGAACTTTTATGTTTACCCCTTCAAACATTTGAACTGTGTAAATTGTTTTAGTATGCACTGCATGGCAATGCTACCTCATCCCTGTATGGAAGATCATGTGTGTGGTGGTGTCCAAGTGTCACTTTTTCGTACAGCGCCACTCTGCTACGTACAATGTTGGCGTTAACTGCAGTTGTTCTCACGGAAGAGGAAGCAAGTGCTCGCAGTTGACAGAAGCATGTTTTTACACACAACGGTTCAAAGGAACGGCTGATTGAATGAGCGAATGGTTATTTACAGGTGACAAAAAAGATTTGAGGCCATGGAGAAGGACAAGTAAGAAGAGGAGGAGGAAAATGGAATGCAAAAAGTAAACCCTTAGTTTTCAAAAATTGTCCATGTACAAGAGAGGGAAAAAGTGTGCAATATCTGTCTGCCCTTACAGAGAACTAGCAGTGGCAAAAATACCTGCATTTGATTTTACCCCAAGAGAAAATGAGAACAAATTCAACAGATTTCCATTCCTCACGTTACAATTAAGGTTCATAACTTAAAAATATTAAAAATTGAACAGTTTCTTTAAGCACAAAACTTTCAGCGACTATCTGAGAGACATGAAAGTAGAAGCAATTTGTTGAACTCAGGGGGTGGGGAAAAAACCCCAAAAGTATCTTCTTTAAAGTTTAAATTCATTTACAGTTAACTTAAAAACGGTCCGAGAACTGGTTCTTGGCCAGTCTCATTTTCCACAGAGAGGCTGGGTAAAGCCAAGTGTGTCAAACTGCTCCTCCCTGGTTGCTGTTCCTTCAACCCCCTCTCCCAGCAAAATTCCATTTACATCTCCTTTTGACACCAATCGTCCTGTAAGGTTCCACATCCCAGTTAAAGCCCTAGTCCTGCCACAAGTGGAGGCGGTGTTACACAGCCCTGCCGGGCTCAGTACAGCCAAAAAGAGGCTGATGGTTGACAGATGTCAGGGCCCCAGCTACTTATCAGTGTGTGGGGTATCTTGCAGCTCCCATACCAGGCTGGTTGGCTAGCATACTTCCATTCAGTCCCTGCGTAGGCTCCATAACCCCACCGTTACTGATGGCGCTCATGCCAGTCCACCCAGCACTAGCCGGTAAGTGACTGCAAAAGGAAAGGAACAGG